TTGGAATCACACATTCAGTCCTTGCACGTTTGCAGAGGCCTCAGGGCTGACAAGGATCCTGTAGTCTAGACACTAAAATACCCCTGTGGGCACTGGTGCAGAGGAGACCCCAATCTGCTGCCGCCCTCCCTCCAGCAGACATCAGGAAGGAGAGGAGGCATCTCCATGGCCAGCACGTCTATGCAGTAAGGACATAACACGGTTTCTCTCCACCCTCCCCCAAAGTAGGGGCCCCCAGAGGACCAAGCCCACATAGGGCTCGGGTATGTGGGGGCTACAGCCCAGGAGCACCATGACATGGTGACATGAGCCTGGGGTTGGGGGAGTGCAGGAGCTGTAACCGACGCCCAAGCGACATTAGGGGCGGCTGATCGGGGCTGCCCACGTCAGCAGGCGACAGAAGGAAGCACCCTGAGGCCAGTGGATGCTGCATGGCTCAGACGACCCTAGAGGTCTTTGCAGGAACCTGGCGCCAGGGCCGGGTGCGGGGCAGGGCTGAGCCTGGAGAGGCTGTGGGTGCATGTGACAGGAGCCCCACACCACAGACAAACTGCGCAGGGATGGCGGCACCTGCAGCACCAGGGGGCAGGCTGACCAGCAGCAAGAGGACCATGGAGACCACCAGCAAAGGACGGTCTATACCCCTCCTCCCCACCCGGGCCAGGGAAGCAGCATCCGAGGGGAGAGAAACACGCATGAGCAGCTGGACTGCGGCTTCCGGTATGGGCTCCCACTGCGGTCAGGCCAGAGTGGGCAGCCAGCACTCGAAGGGAGCGCTCAGCTGGCCGTGGGACTGAAGCTGAGATTCAGACTGGGCTGGACTTCTCCACATATGAGAAATGGGGCCGTTCTGGGAGATGATACAGCACTGAAGGCCATAGGCCTTCTGAGACCTCTCGCAGGGTAGGAGAATCGGCAGGGATGTGACTGTGCCCGCTGCATCCGACCATTCCCTAAATGGCTGCACACCGTCTTCACCTTCACCACCCTTTTCTTAGTCAAAAGTGGAAGCCCCACCCCCACGAAAGAGAGGAAGAAGAGAACAGAAAACAAAGCAAAGAAACGCTTTCCAAGCTGGAGTTCCTCCCCTCTTGCATTTGCTGGAGGACGACCAGGGGAGGGCAGAGCTGAGAGTCCCAGCACGCCTGGCTGTGGGCTCTGCAAGGGTGGGAATGGGCCGCGAGGACTGCAGAGCCGTGGGGCAGCCGCACGCACTGGGCTCCGCAGCGCGGCCAGGCCTCTTTCCTTAAGAAACAACAACCAGATACTGCTAAGACTTTCACATGCATGTCTGCTGTCTGGTGCCTCCCCGGGCTGCCTGGCCATCAGGAGCCACATCCCACAAAAGTACCAGAGAAGCTGGGAGTTCACAGACTGAGGCGTTAAATGATAGATAATTATGGAAGTGACAGGAGTAAATCACAAAACACGTAACCACAGAAATGACAAATAGTCCATGAGACATATAAGAGAAAATAAATGCAAACAACAATTCAGTTCTTGAATATGACAGAATGAAATTTTACAAGCATTAATGAAAAGGCAATTCTCTAATGGTCTCATCACATTCTGGGCATATAACAGGCATCTGTTTACAGTGACAGCAAACACTTTAGGTTGCCGTCAGCACCCGCAGACACAAGCTGGCCAAGGGAGCGCGGATTTCAGCTCACAGGACCTGTAGCAAAGCCTCTGGTTCTCCTCTGGATTCACTGACAGAACTGCCTAGGGCAAGAGAAGTCAATAGAGCAGAAATGCCAAACCAGCAAGAAAATATCAAGTAAAGTGATTTGCTTTCAACAAGCCACATGATATGTTTTCCCCCTTCAGTGGGAAGAAAAGGAGCGGAGCTATATTAAGTTCCTCCAGCAAAGTGTGAAAAGAGAACCAAACCTAGTGGGAATCCCAAGATAAAAACTGCAGGGCAAGGAGTTAGACAGGACGCCATGCGCTCTGAAACGCAGCGCCCGGCTGCTGATAAGCCTGTTCTATTTCTACTTACTTTTGTAAATAACTGAAAAGCAGTGAAATCTGACGAGCCAGCTTTCCACACAGCGAGTAACTGATTGGAACACAACAGAGCTCTGAGAATTTCTCAGGAAAATGAACCCGACTCCCTTCACTAGGGGCCACAGCTCACACGACCGTGGTTCAGAGCAAAGCCCACGCACGGGCGCAGGGCGGCAGAGAGCGCGCCTGGCCGCCCTGGTCTCCCCGCCGCACCCCGCTGCCCGGCCGCACCCTGGAGCGCCCGTGCACGCCCGCTGTGGAAACAACCACGCCGGTATCTGCTGCCTCGAGTTTGTCACTCGCAGTCTCACTTCTGCCTCTGCTAATAAATAGAAGCTTCACTGCCCAAAATAAATGGAAATGGCACTTTATTTAGGATGACATTATCCCATACTCAAAGATACCTTCAGCAAAAATAGCAGAGAGGAATGGAGATGCAGAAACACAGACACGGAGGCCCAGAGCCTGCATGTTTGGATATGGACATTTTCTGGGCTGAGAGCTGAGTGTTGGGTGCCTTTAATTCTCCCCTGAAAATATGACACTTGATAACCTCATCATGAACTGTTTCTCAAAATAGAGACTGGGCCTCCCAGAGATCCCTGGACCGGTGAAACCCGAGCCGAGCGGCCGGGACAGGCCGGCTGGAGCAGCCGGAGGAGTCCCCCAGACCCTGCTGTCCACTCAGACCTGCCGCCCGGGCCACAGGCATGGCCAGGCCAGGGGCCTGGGCTCAGCCCACTGCCAGACACCACGTCCAGAGCTCTACCAGAGAACAGGCTGGAGGGCCACTGGGAGACACCGTGCTGATTAGACCAAGGGCACGCCACCTGGATTTGCTGATCAGTCCGACGGCTCTGGACCCTCGCTCTGTGAGGGGCGATGGGCCTCCAGGCCCCGGCTACCTTTGGAAGAGAAGGGGGAGCAAAGGGAAAGAGAGAGAGGGATCCGACCTTATCTCCAAGGCTGTTCCACTCTGAAACCTCTGTGCTCTCCCCAACCTGTCTCTGGCAGTCCCAAGGGACAATTCAGAAACCTCAAGAAGTTCCTGACTATTCCTACGGATGTCTCCAACCTCAGCATGGCATTTTTCTCCTCTACTAACCTGCATTTCCAATTTTCACCATTCTCTTAATTCAGTTAGTCCAATCAGTTTACAAGCCACCAAGAAACATACCATCTAACCCTACATTTATGTGTCCCGACACTACATTTCTCTAAGTTAATTCCTCCAAGTTTCACATCATGGCCCCCAGCCTTGGTGGACCGTTCCTGGTCCTGATGTGACTGGCAATCCAGGTGTCAGATCAGCCATTCTTCTGCAGATGACAGGGCAGGGATCTGAAGAAAGCACTGTACGATGCCACTAAATAAGTCCAGCAGCCTCGAGTCCCTTCCTGCCTCCAAGGGCCTCTATCCTCCGCCCTTCCTTTAGCCCCACCCACCTGCCTCAAATAACCATACATAAATGCTGTGGTGGGAGTTTCTATTGCAGAACTTTTATTCCAAGTCTTGGATTTCCAAGGTGCAATTACATCACCTCGACCTAAAGCCAAACACTTGAAACAGCCTCTGACAACCCTGACCTTGAGAAGCCTTCCCCTCACCACTGGCTGCACCAAACCACCTATCCCAGGAGCAGGTTCTGGTTTGGAAGGACCAGAAGTTTATACAGTCTGGGGGCCCTCTTTAAGAGAAAGAACACAAAAGCACATACATTAGAAGTCCAGCCATGGACTTGGCCCATGGGAGGCCCTGGGTTTTTAGCCTTGGCAAAGGCACATACAACTTGATCACACAGCTGCCTCTACTTCCCCCCTTCATTCTTCCTGGCCCACAACGGCCCCCCACCCAGCTTCATATCCTACCTTCTACTGCCCCCAAAGGCAGAGCACTTCAGTTTGGCCAAACAAAAAAGCCATTTGGTTCCTATGCGTCACAAGAAAAACTTAGCAGAAACACTGACATTCCCTTTAAAAGGAAATACACTACGTTTCCAAATACACTCCTGCCCTCTCATGTATACTGAGGCCTAATTTCACCCAGTGTGCCCTCTATCAGAAAGGAACGCATGATTAACGAGACTCAAACATAACAATGTACCAGGCCTTTGGCAGCAGCCCAGCCAGGAACTGTCAGCCCACTTCACAGGGAGAAAACTGAGGCTCAGGTCCCTCACGATAAATGGTGGAAAGATCTAAAAGTGTGAAAACCAGTTCCTGTTTGCAAATGACTTATGAGATGGGGTAATTGGAGGTAGATGGGGTAACAGGTGCCAGACAGAGACATGAGAGCTCTAAAGGGGCAAGAGGCGATTCTTCCAGTGGCGACAGGGGAGAGCCACCCAGCAGGGAGCCCTAGAGGAGTGGCTGGAGCCAGCAGCTCCATGGGAGGGGCCGCACCCAGGCAGGGACAGGGGTCTGTGCCCTGGTGCTCAGCAGGGGGTGTTCCCCTTCCTTCCTAGAATGAGGTTTGAAAGAACTTAGGGATTTGTCCCCTTAAGAAGGAAACAGCTTATGAGCAGTAATTTACCAACTTCCTACTGCTTAGAGTTCACACAGGCCAGAGCCAACTCAGAGGCCTTGACTTGAGCTTAAATTCAGGAGGGTGCCTTGGGAAAGAGCCTGGGGGATAAGGGGGATGACTTGGGCTGAAATCCTGGGCCTGCCACTTACCAGCTGTCCCCTGCAGCTCAGGTTACTCACCTGTAAAGGAGAATCAAAACACCTACTGCCCAGGTGCAGAGCGCAGTATATACAATAACGTGGCCAAGGCATGTGGCACATGGATGCGCTCAGAAAGCAAGGTGTGTCTGCACTGAATGCAGCAGCAGTCAGCTCCCTAAAACCTCCCCCACGTCTCCGTCCTCCCTCTCCACACCCCTCTCTCAGGGACTCAGAGTGGCAGGGGTCTCACCCTTCAAGGCTGAGCATGCTAGGGCCCTGTTGGGAACCACCTGCTTTGTTCCTGCGAGCTCATCCTGTGCCTACCTGGTCCAGGCAAAGCCTAGGGAATTCACCCTTGCTTGTAGTTTCTCTGACGACCCCACTCCTTGCTGTTTTCTTCTTTCAAATCAAACAGAAGTGAAGAAGCAAAATGCTCAACTCAGGGTCTGGCCCCTGGAAGTCCCTTGATGGGTGTGGGCACTGCCAGGCTTCCCGGCCCCGGGACTCCAGACCTGCCATCTGGTCCCTCGTGGCCTCATTTGTTTTGACTGAGCACTCAGCAAAGAACTTATAACTCTTTAACAACTCTTAAAAGTTAAAACTTAAATTTTTATAGCCAAATTCTAACAAGAAAAACAAATAAAGCAAATAAAACAAATTTTAAGCAAATAAAGCCGTATACTTCTCTACATCCTCATAATTTGTCCACAGACAATATTTTCGCTTCCTATGTTCAACAGAAAGTTATTCTGGAACTTTATAAAAATCATTTTAAAATACAAATGGCAATCATGTCGAAAACTAAGTTCAACGACGATGTAACAGCTAAACTTACTTTTAGGTTTTGCTGATCTTAATACAGGTAAACTCTACTGACATCAATTGAGTCCGCTGAACCAACGTTTTAAAAAACTTACAAAACAGAAGAGGCTGTAAACAGTAATAAATTATGGCATGTTTACACAATTTTGCCACTAGCTTTTGAAATCAATGTAGTATTACTTAAAAATATAGAATTATTGTTGTATTTTCTCCATTCTAGGATTCCTCAGACCATATGATCTATACTCACAGAAAAAGGAAAAGAAAAACTTTCAAGGAGGGTATTCTAAGAGCCACCTGTTTCAGAAACATGACATAATAACGTTATGTTATATAACATATATAACATATATAACATAAACATGCTCATAACAACGTTAATAAGGAAAAGAAAGGACATGTGGGAACAGAACAACACAACAGCAGTATTTACATGGTGTTTTGTGCACGGTGACCAGGTCCCTGCAAAGGCACCACAGGGTGTCCGTTCCCGAGGCCTGGGGTGCATCTCTCTGGAGCCCAGGACTGGCCGCTGGCCGCTCCAAGCCCACCTAGGAGGTGACTGCTGATGTCACAGGTGGCTTTGTTGACATCCTTACATCCTGCCAGGGCTATACCCTTCATGTGGCATTCCCTTCAAGTAGCAAGGGGAATAAGGAAGGACATTCCACCCCAACCCCACAGCCCTACCCGCCACCAGGGCCGGCCACCGTGCCGACAGCCCACAGGACCCCAGGAGGAACGCCAGACCACGCAGCTTTGAGGGTCTCCCTTGGCCGCCTCCAAGCCCTCGACTGTACTGGTTGGGTCTTACCACGGTGCATATTTTGGTCATCTAACATTGACGTATCTTAAAACAAGGAAACTACATGACTTTCACAAGGGGACTGAGAGCCAAGGTCGCCGGGCCCATCTAGGGTCCTTTACCTACACATGCTGGTCCCGGGAGGAACTTTACCTGCCCTGCCCGGGCTGTGCGTCCTGTGGGAAGCCCTCAGCTAAGGGCAGCGGGCTCAGAGTGCCATCTTCCCTGTGAAAGCCCCTTTCAGAGTTTCAGAGCAGCACCCAGGGCAGGCGAGCTGTGCCCGGCACTGAGCCGATTCTCTGCCTGTTCTGACAAAAGCACCTCCATCCAATTCAGCTTTCCGGGAGCCTTTCTTATCCTGGAAAAAAAATGATTGTCTTTTTCTTCTAATTTTCATGAGTGGGATGTGAGCGAATGCTGGTGCTGGCAGGCAGGCATGGGCACAGATGTGGCTCCTCAGGTGGCCTCTGTCCCCGTGGGCCTGTGGCCCTGGGGCATCGCTGGGGCAGGAGGCAGAGGGGAGGGGCACCAGCCCGCATCCTCACGCTCACACAGCACACGGCCAGAAAACGCCAGTGCGCTGTCTTTTCTTCAGTTAAAAAGCAAAGGAAAAAACATGTTGGCTTTGAACGGACACCAGCCACAGTCTTTTCTGCATTTTTTATTCGAGGTTGGTTGAGGGCGCACCCAGCAGCCGCCCTGGCACTGCTGCAACGCCCCAGGCCAGGGAACTGGGGAACTGTGCTGGCCCAGCTCACCGCCCTCCCCACCCCCCGACCTGCTCTGTCCTCTGTGGAAGCCTCACCTGGAAGCCCCCTGGCAGCCCTGCCTCACCCCTGCAGACGCAGGTCTGGAAATCCTCCTCCCAAGGCCCCCCCAGCTTGCCCCCCGCATGGCGCCCACCACAGGGGCAGGAGACTGCCTCACACTGGCCTCTGAGAGCCAACTGCTAAGTTTTCTGGAATGTTAGTAACATAATCACTATTAAAAATTAAATTGTACCAATTTATGATGAAAGACACTACCTTAAAAACAAAGGCAATAAATACGCAGCACTCATCACTTCTTAGCTATTTTGCTGGGATCAATGCCCTTGGGGTTCTCATACCGATCCTGCCCGTGGGGTAGAAGTCCCACACCCCGGGGCTGCCCCCTCCCAGCTCTGCATGCACGCTCACTTCAGTAGCTGGGTAACAGTCATGGTACTTTCGCCATGGAAATGAGCAAATGCTATAAATCAGGGCACACTTTATTGTCTCATTGATTGTCTGGATCAGGGATCAGCAAACGTTGCCCATAAATGGCTAGAAGTAAATATTTTAGGCTTTGTGGGCCATGTGGTCTCTGTCATAATTACTCAAGCTGGCCACTGTGGCACAAAAGCAATACACAGGAGTGAACCTGGCTGTGTTCCAACACAATTTCATTTACAGACACTGAACTTTGAACTTCATGTAATTTTTATGTTACAAAATACTATTCCTTTTTATTTAAAAAAAATACATTTAAAAATGTAAACACCCTTCTTAGATGGCAGACTGTACCCAAACAGGACAAGCCTACAGTTAAAGTGACGAGGAAATCGTAGCAATGCAAATCGAACTTAGGAGCCGTCATGCGTGGAGCCACCACACTGTGCACAGCATGAACACGCACAGAGACACGGTCCCAGTGTCCAGCACTGGTGAAAAGATGATGCTCCAACCCTGTTTCACTTTTGCTTTATTCGACACGAATGAAAACTCCCACCAACACGCCTGCCAGAACCGCACTTGCTCAGCAGCGCACCCAGAGAGGCATGGGCTCGAGGTCGCAGCTCGAACTCACGAGAGCATCTGTGACCATCACCTGGCTCCGTGAAATCTGCACTAGAGAGTGCTGGTATTTCAGTGTGACTTTAAAGGATGTATACACATCCTTTATGCAAGTACATTTTATGTTAAAACTGCTGCTTCTTCAGAGAGTTGGTCTTGGACCTTTACCAGCCCCCTGGGGAGGGTGGAGATGCTGGCCCGTGGGAAGGAAGTGGGCGGGCTCCGTACAGGCAGGGCTGCGTCTCGCCTTCCACCCCGGAACAGGACCCGGGAACCCCCTGCTGCTGTTCAGGTTGAGTAATGAGCAAACGCGGAGGCAAAGCACCACAGCCCCCACCATCTCTTGTCTTTTAGGGATTATTACAGAGAACTGAATCCAATCTGGAACAAGGTACTAAAAACACTTCAGTGAATTCTCAATGCATTCTCTTCAATAACGGAAGTAGATTAAATGTAATCTTTTAAGACTTATTCTAGTAATGGGCACTTAGCATATTTTACTTGCAGACTAATAATACTTTGCACTCGCTGTTCAGGACAGCAGTTCCGCATGTAACTCGTCGTAGAACATAAACGAACCCAATGCCAGTGACTCCAGGTGGAGCCAGCACCCCAGAAGTCCCGGGAGCTCCCCTAGTGCAGGTCCCATGGGAGACCCACGCTCCTCGCCGGCACCCACAACCACCGAGGCATGTAGGTGAACGGCTTCTGCTCAAGAGGCAGGGGAATGAGCTAGCCTCTCTTTCAAAGAACATACTAAAAGCCACTGTGGTTAGAAGAGCAGTTCTATGAAATGGAAGTTTGTATATTTAACAAACTAAAACATGGCAAGGAGAGAAAGAGGTTAAATACCCTTGAATCAAGATGTCCTCATGCCACACATTTTTCTAAAGGTAACAGAATACTCTGAAGACTGGCTGTCCTCACTCCTCAGGTTCCCGCAAGGTCTACCCTATACATAAGTCCCTCAGGTTCTTCAGAGACTACTTTCTAGCTGTCCCCCGCTGGACTCATCTCCAAGCTGAATACTGTAAAAAAGGTGCCAGGAAGTTCCAGAGTGGCCCATGATCTCTGAGGTCACCTGCTTGATGCTATTTAATGTTCTATCTTCAGGTCCATAAGATCCACAAACAAAAAGTGTTAACTTGGGGTTTTAACACAGCTGGGAACCCCTTCCAGAATCTATGCCAGTAATGTTTTATAGGTGTGATGACTGGATTTCATGCCACTGTGCCCCAAGCTGACATCCCCGCCACCCGCTCTGTTCTCAGACGCAAGCCCCTTCAGCAGAGCAGGGGACAGAGCTGCACCCTGACCCCACGCCCAGAGCAGTGTCTTCTACTGTGGGGTTGGCAGGTGCGTCCTCCCAGAAGTCCCTGTTGGATGCCGACGATGACACCTCCATGTGGGCTGATTCATCCAATGAGGCACAGCACGGAGGAAAGCCCTGGGTCGCCACCACCAAGGGAGGTCCAGGCCCAAAAGCAGCAGGGCTGGGTGGTCCCCAGGAGGCCACCCAGGGTCACCAGGCACCGTGGTGGGAAAGGACAGATATGGAAGGACATGGGCCTAGACTGGATCAACCTTCCACGCTTGGCAAGCTCACCTGGGTGCCGCTGCTGGGCCGCTGGCCTCCACCCCATGTGGGCAGGTCCCACACCCTAGGTCCCTCTGCTCTCTCCGGCTGCAGGCTGCAGGAAACAGGCTCCCAAAGTCACATGCGGTGATCCCAGCGGGGCCCCCAGGTGCTCATCGCTGCCACCCCCTACCACATGGGTCACTACAGCCCTTCCAGGTCCTGGCAGACCTCATGACAGGCTGCTGTCCTATCCACAGAGCTCCAGGAGCCCATACAAGAGAATGTGGCCCCTGGAAAGGGCCTAGATCATATCTCTGCAGGGGCTGTGCAGTTTCCTCTCTTCTCTCCTATCTTCTGTCTTCCCTGCCCCAGTTCCCTGGCTGGGACTGCTCCTTCCTTTCCTCTCCCATACCTTCTTCCATCAAAAGGGGAAACTGCTCCAAAGGATAGCCCTACACTCACTGCCTCAATTTCCTCACCACTTCAAAAACCGTCGCCTTTAAATCCAGGCTGCCCCTCCATTCCCCAGCCGACCCATCGCTGGCCTCCACAGCTCCCGGGCAGCCCTGCTTTTGCGGCACCAGCGTCTTGTGAAGCTGCTCCTCTGCCTATAGGCCTTCGAAGTCCAAGAAAACACTAGCTCCTCCTAAACACTATCCCGGACTGTTTCGCTAACACTTTCCTGACCCCGACCCACTCCTGCCAAAATTAGAAGTATTTTCTGCAACCTCAAAATTACAATTCCAATCCTGTGGTTCTAAACTTTCTCCATAGCTCTACAACATTTTGCTGTCCCCTCCCTCCCTTAGAGTAGAAGCCTTTGTCCTCTCACCAAAAGCGTTAGCCACCAGAGTAGCTAACGCAGCATGCTGAAACTGTGAGCTCAGCACATGGCTGTCACATGGATGGACTACACTCAAGAATGACATACAAAAGAATATAAGTTGTATGTACAACTTCATGCATTCTGTAAACATGTATCAGGACCTTACAACTTACAGGGTATTTCCTAAGGAGTCTATGACACAAATGATCCTACAATGTATGGTCCCAGATCTCAAGAAGCTAAGAGTCGCTCAGAGGTGATAAGACATACATTAAACTATTTACAATAAAAGAAAGCATGTTACTAAGGTTAAATATGTAAAAGTCACCTTGCAAACCAAAAGGCATTATTAAAAAATGTGAATAGATTTAAACTGTTATTATTGGCATTATTAAGTTATGCAAAACAAAGTTAGGTAGGACATTAATCCTGCCTGGAGAGTAATTTGCAATTTTGTGAGGAAATAATTTTACCAAAAATAACATATTACCCAAAGACTTAATTTTCAATATGGCAAAGATCTCTGTAAATGCAAAATATTATAAGATACCTATGAATTATAACATGTGATAAGTATATATCAATTGTCAATTTATTTTTAAGCAGAAAGGACTAAAAATATCTAGTAGCATTTAGAAAATATTTCATACTTTTAATAACTCCATGAATTTTAAACTAAACTAAATAAATAATTATTTAAATATCCTAGCTTTAATGCAAAAAAGCAAGTTAAGTATCTAAGTTCCCTACTTGAAATAAAAAAAGACTGTGTTGATAAGGGAGCATTTTACCATATAATTCGGACCAGGAAGAAAAATGGCTGCAGCACATCTGCCCAGGCAGCAGCTCCACTGGCAGGGCCCCTGCTCTGTCCCTGATGGCTCAGGAGCAACTAGGAAGGATGCTTACTGTCAGCAGGGCAGTACCACAGGACCCCTCCCCAGGACTCCTGCTAGTCTGTCCTCCCACCTCCAATCAGGGCTCACTCCCCAAAGCTCCACAGGTGACAGTGCCCTGGCACACAGCCCAGCATGCCCTCCCCACCCAAGCCTGGGCCCGGCGTCCCTACTGCCCCAATGTCAGCCTCGGTGGGGCTGCACATGGCAGGGTGTGGCATTAGATCAGGGCCATATGACCTTGATCTCACCCCAATAAAATACATTCAATGCTGATTAATGAAGCATTAAAATACTTATGAAGGAAGAGTTATTGTGGCTGCCATTCTACGATGCCCCTGACTTGATTATAGATCCTGCCACGTACATACAGAGTATTATCCTGCAGACATCTTCCAAAGTTAGGCAAGAACAAATGGGCTTTTATGTGCAGATGACTCATTTACATTCTTAATTATTTTTAAACTACATGAAAAAATAAGTGACCACATTGGTAAATTTTTAAAAGAAAAATTTGGGTGTGCTCCCTAAACAGCCCAGAGAGGACCCCCCAAACTGAGTCCTAAACATCAGGGCCCAGTGTGCCCCAATAACTCATTGCAGCCAACTCAGATGCAGCCCCTACAAACGGCCTTGCGG